AAATACGACACTCACCTTACTGTCGCAGATTTTGTTGACCAGCTGACTTGTGCGGGGTCGGTGTCCTCTCAGATGAATACTGTAGCGACTTGGGGCGTGTGGCAAGAGAATCGTAATTCGCCGCGCCAGTGGGCGTCGCGTGCGACGTCGCGCCCGCTAATGACGACGATTTTAGGTGGTATTGGTCGAGAATAGACAATGTATGACCAAAAATAGACATAAGTGTCTACTACCATGTCCTTGTCTACATAAAACCGATGCTCCATCGAAAGGGTAGTGCAAATTAAGGAAACGTCGCGCCCATTGCCGCGCGCGACGAAGCGGCGATTTACGATTCTCTTGCCCGTCTCCCAGCGACTTGTTCCAAGGTGGATGGAACTCGTCTTAGATCTCATAAGTAAGTTCGGTAGCTCGCAGAAGGTATATGCAGCACTGTCTTCCTCTGCCCCATACCTGTCCACACACAAATTTCATTATTAATTATTTATGAGGTCTAGAAATTAAACTGGCGCCTAGAATCTATGCCCTTGGCCCGTTTACATCCAAAATGCCTCAAAACATCAAGAGCGAGGTGAAGTGTTTGGCGCATTTCAGAGAGGATTCACATAGGTGTTGTATCCCTTTTGACTAAATAATCGAGGTCATGCCAAATCCGTAATATCGGATTATTTCTCATTTAATTTATCTTTCCTGCTCAAAAATTGAACTCACCTTACTGTCGCTCCGTTACCAAAAGCCTCAATGGCCGGGTTCGCTTGCACCACCTGATTTTCTAGTGAAGCTTCCTAAAGGTATTAGATTATCTTCAGTCTTCAACTCAGTTGCGAATGATTTTCCCCTACTCAGCCGCATGGACTGTCACCCGTGTAATTATCAGTAACAGTAACAATCTGTCGTTGTTTATAGAGGAAGGAAGTCGCTACGTAGCAATCCCTTCAGTATGCTCCGTGCATTCGGTACTATCCAGAATGTGCTTAATTGAAAGGTACATGATGCATGCAAGGGTCGCCGATTAGGACACAGCGGCGCTACATCGCGTAAACTTCGCATTTCTAGCTGTTGACTGGACATCGAGCTGCTTTCTTTGCTACTGCGTGTCGTGAAGGCTGGCGTTCCAGCTCCTCATCCCATCCACTGTAATCGTTTGCCGTTCCTACGATTCTGGAGAAGAGGCTGCGCCGACGCCAAATACCCATCTGAAGTGGAAGCGCTAAAAGGAAGTCGTAGTACGCTTTTTCCCCAAGGGAAAGACTTACTGGGATGTTCTGTCACTCTAGGATAGCGCCGTTCCACCGAGAGCTCGGCTTTCTGGGTCCTTTTGTTATGAGATCGGATCGGGCTACCCTTTGAGGGTACATTCCGCATCTCGCTTCAAGCTCTACTCTGAGGCGATATTGGATTACCGCTCCAAGTTCCTACATCCGAACATGACATGATGATAAACGGTGGCCCGCTCCTCTGACTTTCTTGAGAACTAAAATCCTTTTGATTTTCCCTTAACAGTGGCTGCTCCGCGAGCGAGCACTCCTCACTATTGTACGCCTTGCTGAGTTTTTCGAAGCGAGTTTGACAAATCCCGGCGGATGAAAATCTCTTGAAATCTCGTCGACCGTGTCCTATGTTTACTTTGAGCGTGTCGTCTATTTGCGTCGGCTACGCTTGGAGAAGTCACTACGGTCGATGAGGAGGCGTGTGGCAGCTGCTTGGATGGGTTTTCCAACAATGTGAACGTTCCCTGACACGAGTATTCTTTCAGGTAGAAATTTGCTAAGAGAAGATAGCTTTTGGGCGCTAATTCAGTTTTCGGGAAGGGCCGATAGGGAGGCAATAATCAGATCCCTCAGTATCTCAGTTTCCCATCACCCATGCCAAGACTTAGGTTTCGAGAGCAGTTGACCCGAGTTGCCGAGAGATAGCCTCACTGGGAGACAAGGTTTTCACTATCCATAAGTTTAGGCCTCGATATGGGAAAGGGGATCAGAAGCAGCTGAGTGGTCCCCCCCTTCCCAACTCTGTTAGCGCACGAATCTGTATGACTAGTAGTTCCCCCAAGTCATTTCCACTGTAGGTCATTGCGCTAATCCTGGACTCTTGTGATCAGAATGTGTTGACCAGGTAGTCGCAGGAAAAAAAGTGGCGGATGGCACACGACGGCGCGGCTATGCTACGTGAATCTGCTCCTCTGCGTCCTCCATCGATGTACTGCCCGGAACAGGCATGATTTGCTTCTGAAATATTTGGAAGAACCGGTAGGAAGTGGCGCATTGATCAATTATTTCTATGACTCCTAGAAGACGGGTATGACAGTGGCATGTTTAGGCGAGATACTATGTCACATAGTTGCGCCGCCACCTGGCCCCTCCAACTACCCTTGCTTTAAATTGGAATAAGCAAAATGAGTTCTTCAGTACTTACTGGTATGTTCTCAAATCGTACGGCCTTCTTTTCCGTTACTTTCTTCGTCGGTGCTCCGATTTTTGCGAAATACGCGATTACTTTCTTTGTGTTCTCCGTTTTCCCAGCACCGGATTCGCCAGTGATCAACATCGATTGGTTTTCGTGGTCTTAAACAATAACAAAATTTCTCTAGAAAATAATATTCTCAACTACCAGTACATCGGCAGACCTGAAGTGGCTCGTGAGGCTCTTTTTAGTAATTTACACGCTCGGGAGCTTGATATTTATTTCAACTTTTTATTTCATTTCATCCTTTGGAGGGTTATCACGGCTGGCAAGAATTATAAAGCTCCTGGCCCTCCGAACTACAAATAAGAGCGCTTCGAGCCATTTCACGGCTCTGACAACGACGACTTGGTTGAAGCGTTGGGCAACAATAAACTGCAACTTCAAAAACTAGAAAAACTTAAAAAAAATCTAAAAACTTGTGAGGCATATGAAAGAACACGCTAATAATAATAGTAATAATAATAACAATAATAATAGCAATAATAATAATCGTCCACAGATAACATCTCATACCGGTCACCATATTTCTGTAGGCCTCATCGGAGATGGCGAAGAGATGTGGTGGCATTTCGGTTCGTCGTTTATTCACGTACATGGCAACCACCGAATCCGTATAGATTGGCAGAAGTTTGTACGGGTTGATGAATACACAGAACAAGCCCGAATAGGTCTGCAATTACAACATTTAGTTCTCCTTTGCACTGGGGAATCATCAGTAGTGTTATTATTAAATAAGGGGCCTCTGTGAGTGCGCCATGAACCCTGCGAACATCTTCGATCGCAATTCCTATTGAAAATGCCCTAACAGTTGTGATATTTCGAAGTTTTCAATGTGTGAATGAATCAATATCAAATGTTACCTTAAGTTATTATATTGATAACAATTTCACAATTAATCTGATTGATTATCACAAATTGAGTTGAACAAGTTGATTAATTTTATACGCAGTTATTATCCAGAGCGGCAAAATAGTATGGTTCAGCTATTCGAAAAAATCAACCTTTTTAAGTGATTCCTAGGAAAAAAGCTATGAATGGAAAATATTTGTTTGTTTATGTTTACTCACGTAGATCATCATAGAGTAGTACCGTTGCCGAAGATTGTGCAGTACTGAAGCCTCGTTTAAAAAATGTCAGATTCGACATGTCTTCGGTTTTCTCGAATTTAG